GTCTCTACCAATGCGAAAAACCCACTGAAGCACGTGGCCCAGGGCGGTGGTTTGTGGGGGCGTGGCGCGACTTCTACATCGCTCCGGAATAAGCGAACTTGATAACAGAGTCAAACTGAATCGACTCGCCTACTCTTCTCTGAGAGCGACATGGAATAATGACCCGAAGCGCGGGCAGCCCTCCACCAGGCGCCGTCTCGGCCACCCGCTCCGAATAAATCTTTCATGTTGGCGGAGGCTGAGCACCCATGCGCTGTGCCCACGTGCTTTTTGTACTAGAAATATTCTCCTGCTTGGGTCCAAGAAGACCCCTCTAAATTTGCAATAAATAAACACGTCGAAAAACAAATGTGCTGACTCATCAACATCAAGTAATTGATCATCAAACTCGAGACCTTTACTGGGATTACAGAATTATCCCCCGGATACGAATTTTTCACTGTTTTTGTCAGTATAATCTAGATCGCTAAACATTGAAAAAAAAAAAAAAAAAAAGCTAGAGATTTATAAAGCACCTAAAGTACAAAAAAAGCTCTTTTTGCACTAAGAAAAAAAAATAATACCATAATGTGTACGTCGGTGCCAAAAACTCAGTATTTCTTTTCCTTTTTTTTTTCTTTTTGCTGAGTGCTTACTGAGAGCTTACTGAGAGCTTAAAATCACGAAACAAAAACAAGCCTGGACATAATCATTCACGCCCAATGTTTTTTTTTTTAAACTGACTCTGAAGACTGAGTGTCTTCTTAACTCTCCTCCTACATCGGAACATCTCCCCACTTGCCTGCAGCCCCTCCAGGCCCAGTCGCCCTTCCGCTGAGCCAAACGTCCATCATCGTCCTGTGGGGCCCCAAGCCCAGCTGTCCTTCGATATCGTCGTACAGGATACGCATCGTCGCTGTCGGGAACACCACGGCGTTTCAGTACACCGAGCAGTTGTCGTACACCTACCAAAACCTCCAGCCGACCACCAAATACATGTTCCAGCTGGAGTGGTGCCCACTCGAAGGGATTTGCAGTGATCCGGTTGACGTGAGAGGAAGCACGGTGTAGGGCCGTTTCACCGGACATATACACACTCTAAGAAATGCCTGCGCGTCTACTTACCCGCAAAACACTCGAAAAGTCAATCTCTGCTATCTACGAAATCATATCAGGGAATGATGAGGCAGAACATCTGTTCAGACCTTAAAATGGTCTGAACAGATGCGTGCGTGATGCTGTGGCATTGCGTGATGCTGTGCGTGCGTGATGCATTGCGTGATGCTGTGGCATCACGCAATGGAAGCATGACGCTTTGCATTGCGTAATGACACAGCGCAGACTTCCTTTTAGGTCTAAACGGATGTTCTGCCTCATCATTCGCTGAGCTGATTTCGTAGATCGCAGAGATTCTCTCTTTGAGTGTTTTACGGGTAAGTAGACGCGCAGGCATTTCTTAGAATGCAATCTTAAAAAAAGGAGGAAAATGTAGTGCGGCTGTACTTTACCCTAAAACAGTTGGAAGAACCAATTGCTGCTATTGACGAAGAGTATGCTCAGTGAGTGACGAGGCTGGAATATGCTTAGACCTACAAAAGACAGCCTGCGCTGTGACACTGGCCATTAGGCAAGCATCATGTTTAGATTTAAGCATGATTTCTGTAATTCGCCAAGCTCCCTCCGAAGACTGCCTTCACATGTGACTTGCGGAAAAGCAGAGGTACCAAATTTAAAATTTCAGGGGACTATCGAGCGTAGATTAAGTAGGTGAGTCGGTGCCTCTTTCGACCTAATGCAAAAAAAGAAGAAAAAGTGCCAAACCTGACAACAACAAAAACGAAAAAAACAAAAAAAAACAAAAAAACGTAATAAGTACGTGGTGTGCGAGCGTAAAGTGCGCCATATTGGTGCTTCAACCCTATGCGAAAAGGCCTGTCTCTAATGTGCCATATTCGACTCCGAAAAAAAAAAAAAGAATAGACTGAAAAGACGCAATAGCCCGTTTCACTTTGCTACGAACCACAGCAGACGCTACGATCCATACCAGACAATCGGTCGCCGCAAAGGTAACACGTGTCTATGTAACACGTGACCATTTTATGTCACGTGACACTAACGCGTTACTGGACTGGCTCTAAACGTAAGGTAAAACGCAGAATACGAGCGAGTTTTTCAGCTAATAAAACTTGAACTTAAATTCATATTAGTACTTGAAAATGAACCGCTCGTGTCTATTACCACTACTTTTAATTCGCACGAATATTGTTCATATTCTGCTCACAAGTCTCCAAACATTAATCGATCTTTTTTTTTTATAATGTAAATTATGAAGACAAATAGGGAAACGTACGGGATTCTGTATGTGATGCCTTCAGGCTTCAACTCAAAACAGCGCTAAACAACGTTGGGCAGGTAGACAAACTGAACAGAGTGCTGTTTAGTTTTTAGCACTGTTTTGTTTGTGATCTACGTAAAGTAACAATTAGTACAAGCATATTAGAGTCATCGACCACTTAAAGAACGTAAAACGTGGCGAGTCATCTTATTATCGTCCCACAGTCAATGAGATTGAGTCGTTAGCCATTAAGGGTCCCACACGAAGAAAGCAACAACAACAACACAAAGCAAAGAAATAAAAACATTTAACGTAATAAGACGATCCATGGATTTCTTAAGTTGTTAGTGACTGTAGTTACAGATAGACCTCCAGACGATCTTGGGTATCATCTGATTGAACTAATAAATGTCTCGAAAGCATGCGAGTGTGTGTACAAATTGGTCCAAGAAAGACGGTAATGAAACTGAAAATGATCTGCCGTGTATAGCTGAAGAGAAACATATTGTTGGCTCGCAACAAAAGCTTAGCTTCGTCAGTGAACTCCGTTGTTTTTCACTAGGAGAGGAAGCATCCTCATGAAGTGTAATGTTTGAGATCGATATCATTTATAGATATTTTGTTCCCCGTTTTGTACCTCTGAGACGGGGAAAGCGTTGTTGTTATAGTTTGGTGACTAGAAAAATAAAGTGCAAGAGTCACGCGAACACATAAAAGAGGAATATTGGATGACTAGTATAATTTAAGTTATTTTCTTTGCCTAATCTCTATACTTAAATATATTGTTATGGGAAATATAACGTTGTCGGCCAGTATAATCGTGGTAATTCGACATTCTTCGAAGCTTATTTCGCGATTACTCTGCGGTATTAATTCGAACAGTAAATGTATTACATTTTTAAGGTAGACAATTGTGAGTATAATTAAATTTAAGAGGCAGTTGTTTCGGTGCACGCTTTTCCAAATGTTAGGTTCGCACACACCCCACGGTGATATTTGTGTCGCATTTATACACGTTACGAAAGATCGTAAGCGAAACAGGCGGCGGATCTTGTTTTTTATGTCTAAAGATTTACTGTGAGAAACCTCGCCACTGAAGCAGGGAATAGAGTTTGTGCGGAGCGCAAGCTCGTCTGCTTTTTGCACAGGGGTTGTCATGATGTCAGAAGGCCGACCTCTTATTGGATGATTGAAAAAAAAAAATAGTGGGTAGACCTCAAGGCACATAGCATTGAGGGCTAACCGCTATCCACTTAATCAGAGCCCATTAAAGCTCGGCGTTGTTTCGACGTCACTGCAACTCCTACGCAAAAAGCAGACAACTTGCTCTCGGCATAAGTTAGTCTACAGCAATTTTCAGCTTTTCGGCTAATACTGTTTTGTAGTACATTGACTATCATAAACCTGGATAGATCTGCTTGCTTATTCAATAAATAGTGAATATCTGACATGTATATCACGATATATATGTTATTTTGTCAAGTAGAACAAATATAGGTGGGCTGGTGGCGTTCTGTAAAGGTAACCGCAAGCACGGGGTCTCAAAGTATGTTGTGTGTAGGCTACAGAGCGTAATGCTGCACGACGTTGGTTTGGATTTGGGGCATATTGCTTGTATACGTGTTTTCGTATATCTGCAAAATGTATATTCTACCAAGTGAACGTATGATTTTATTACTCTCCCGCGGTAAGGCCCTTTGGGCGCTGCCGGATAACCTAAATAAATAAATAAATAAATACAACAATTGAGTGTGACAATTATTTCATGAAACTCTGCAGAAACATTTATTTTGTAACGTCACTGTCTTTCCCTGAACACTTGTATTTTACAAGGCAGTTGCCGGAACTTAGGAAATTGTTTAAGTTTTTCCGCTGAAACACACGGGAAAAAAAAAAAAAACCCATCGGTGATGTCGCATATGAACCTAAAAAAACGTATATGTACAGTTTCTTAGTGGTATATATAAAAAAAGCTCTCCCTTATAGACGTAATAGTCAACAGGCAGTTGAATGAAAGAGGCACGAAGAAAAAGTAAAAGCTTGTATCTGAGCAGTGTCCCAAAAGACAGTCATTCTTGTGTCAATTGCGAAAAAGCACTCAAACTATCCACAGAGAAAGATACAAATATCTGTAAAACCGGATGTCCAGTTTTACAGATATTTGGGACAACAATTCAGATTGTTTGCAGTCATGCGAGGCGGCACTTTGACACACAAAAATGCTTGTTACAACGTGTGAGGTCTAGAGCTATAACGCGTACGAACACAAAAGTCTCCTGTTCCGCTGGAAATGTAGTATACCGTGTTTTACATTTCCGGCCTTGTCTTGTAGAAGGGTTCACATTGTATCACAATGCAACTTGGTAAGGAACAAACAAAGAAATATTTTTGTAACTTGGATTAGGCGGGTTAAGTTTACACTGATTTTGAAATATGAAATAGAGCCGAACCTTCAGTAAGCACAAATATTCTGAGCTTTGTTTTGCTTGCATTCCTGCCAACTTCACCTGCCCTCTCTTAGTTTAATTTCCCACTCTCGCATTTGTGTAATCGCAGACGTGTAGCGTCGAGATTTTGGAGTCGTGCCCCCAATTCGGATTTTTGACGCGCGAAGCATGCACATCTTCACAACGACGAAACAAAAAATAATGTAATTTTAAATGCGGTGAGCAAAATCTTCCTCCGGTCTTTCATTTGGCCATTGACGCTGACTTTGGTGAGTGTGGATGCATGTCTGAGACGTTTCGTTTTCAACACTTTGACAAAAACACCACAACATACGTCTTTCACTTTCCTCAGAGTTCCGCTACACGCAACATGCAACTCGCACCATTCTCTTCTTCCAGAATAAGACACAAAACAAATAACGTGTTTGGCCACTTCACCATCACACTCTCTGCCGTCGCCATGCTCATAACACTTAACACATCCGTTGCTGCCGGAATGAAAATCTCAGTCACTGTCACCATGGGCGTGGATGTGATCTCTATAACCTCACGTTTTCTTGAAGGACACTCTCTTTGGCGTAGATGGCATGGCTGGAGCGGGTCCGCCCATGGAACCCCGGAGGAAGGCTTCGATGGCATCACCCAACAGCATAGCATCCACAACGTTACCTTCGTCCCACTTCACCTGAGACTCGTCTTTAGGTTTGCCTTCCTTTGGAATCTCTTCTGCAGGAGCTTCTTTCTTGACTTCACGAGTAGCATCCCCCGAGTGTTTTCGCTTGGGTTTTTTGGTGATCAGCTCCTCGACTGCTGGCGGTTCCTCTTGAGATTTCTGCTGGGGTGGTGTCTTGCCCGAGAGGCTGTTTCTTTTCGACTTGCTTGGTTTTACCTCTTCGCTCGTACTTCGCTCTAGCGTGGTGGAGCCGCGCCGTGGTGCAGGTGGTGTTGACACGATCCTGGGGATATTTTCTGCCGCTGGTTCGTACGTATCCGTCGCCATTCCTGACGGGTCAATGGTGGCTGACCGTGTGGTGCGGAGGGCAATTTTCTTGGGTGACGTTACGCCGACTGTGGTCGATGTCACAGACGAGGACGTCGAGGATGACTTCTTTTTGGTGTTGTGGTGGATCAGAGAAAGGATGTCTTCTTTCTTGCAGACGATCCCCTCATCGATGCTTGTCCGTGGAGACACGTTCGGGGATCCGTCCGAAGACTCCCGTGAAGACTTCCTCGACCCTTCCCCGCTGCGCATTCCTTCTGGCGAGCGATCTTTGTTTACGGCCGAGTCGCTCGACGAGTTGCGTTTCTTGATCGTGAATTTAACTTTTCCACCGCCACCGCCAGAAGACAATTTTCCATCCGGATCATCGGGGCTGCCTGACGAAGTAGCGGTTACCGAGAGCTTCTTCAGTCCTTTTAGTAACTCTGCGGAAGACATGGTCTTGCTGAAGAACTTGGAAGTTTTCCAACCGGCCGCCTTGTGGGCTTTCCCCTTTGACTTTTCGCCGTCGGAAGAGCTGCCGGATGCTTTGGTGGAGGTAGGTTCAGGAACTAGCTTGTTGGAGGTGTCCCGTCGTGTCAGCTTGACTTTGAAGCTTGATGGGTGCGAAGCACTCTTGCTCAAGGGCTCGGCGACGACGACCGTGGTCTCAACGGTTGTTGCAGATCTCCGCGGACTAGAGGAGCCACGGCGCTCGTCCCTGGAGGGGGAACGCGCTCGGTCTCCCGGTTCGGTGCCAGTCGTGGCTGGTTGCGGAATGGACATCTGCCTCACGGCGGCCATGGCGCGATGCGCAACGGCCACTAGGTGGTCTCCGCAGGAGCACACGTCATTCTGGGGGCTTGCGAGCTTGACGAGAAGCTTGGGCCACAGGGTGCCGGTTAGATGTTCCTCACTGGGCAGAGGCGATCAGCTGAGGCATGCGGGAACTGATTCGGGAGATGTTGGCATTGTTGGCCAGCACTGGACCCGGTTCTGCAAGTGCCTGCAGTGAGGAAGTAAAAGGTAGTTTTTGGTCAGTGCACACAGTTATTATGTGGAAGGGAAGGCACAAATAAATAAAGTGATACAAGTGCCATCTCGTCATAATCACAAAACGTGTGTGTTTTAATGCCAGAAATATTCGAATGCATCTTATGGAAAGACTGGATATGTAAAGAGGCCACGTGCACGCAGAAAAACAATCAGCACATGAGCCAGCCAGCAAATCTTTGAAATTACCACCTAAATATTTACGCTAAGTAAATACGTATAAAAACATATTTCCCGGTACAGGAAACGTATTTTACACTCATAGGAAAGAAGTTACTCAGAATGAATTCGTCAAAACCATTTGTTATAAGAACACCCTACATATTCACGAAGTATAAGTAATACGTCTTCCTGGATAGGACAATATCGGCTTTATTAAAACCAGGCCGAGGGAAAAGGGGGAGTCCCAGTGTCAGCCGTTCTTTGTAATAAAGAGGGAAATAGAAAAAAAATAGTTAAAAGCTGACCGACTTCTGACTATAATCATTTCGAAAGATGTACATCGACTGTTCGACTTATAGGTTTCTAACAAGTAGGTGTCTCGCAAAAATGTTTTGTTGGAAAAAGCACATGCGCAGTATGCTCAATACTGAACTGAGCATCTGAACAAAGAAGCACGAATATCCGAATGTTTGCCTACACACTCACTCGCATTGTGCCATAATTGAAACATCTATCGTCCGTTCTAACATGGGAACTTCGAAGGAGGCTCCGCCTCTTCTCTTTCAGAGAAGAATGTACTGGCGTCGCTATGCCACTAATAAAGAACGCACCATTTGGTGACGTCACGAAAAATGTTCAGTATCCGTTAGAGCACCTTTTTTCCTGACTCGCAACAACACAAAGAAGACTGAACCTCAGGCCCAATGTGCATCGGCGCAACGGGCCTTGAGCGGATAATTTTTTTTTCTTGGGCAAAGTATAGTGCACGCACAAAAAAAAAAAATATTTACTTTAGTTTTTATAGTCGCTTAGAATTTTAAGACACAAAGGGCGTGGCGAGTTTACTGCATTATATTATCTCTCGGCAGCCAATGAGGTTGCGGCATTCGCTGATAAAAATGTCGTAAGATCTATCACTAAGCCTCGCCCATCGTTTCCTAAGCTCTCGGTGATTATACACTGCGTTCCGGTAGAAAGTTGGTCATGTTCATTGAACATGGTTTCATTTAATTTATTATGTCTCTCAGGGCTCGAAGGCATGGTCAGTCTTCCTAACATGGTTAGGAAGATTGAACAGCGCCCTCTTTACCAAAAAGTTTTTTTTTTATTTTCGCTGTTTAATTTTTGTCATTTTTGGAAGCGTGCAACGAGACAGTAGCGTCACGGTGCGACTCCTAGCAGAAGCATTTCGCATAGACATCGCGTGTAGCAGCCGACCTTATAGTTTCTAATCAATGTCAGCTTGCCTGAGCGCAGCGCTATGCAAAACGCTTGGAGCCGCAGTCGCCACTATCTCTTCTTTTTTTGTTTTTTTACGCAAGACCCGGAAATTGAAAAGAGATTCCCTCCACGAGCGGTTAAAACAGCCGCGGTCATCCGAATCCCGGTACGTCAATTTGATGCACGCCAGCGAGCAAAGGGAAATCTGATAATAAAAGGAGCGAAGATTACTTCTCACGGAGATTTAATCGCTTAGAAGCACTGGTGAATGTCGTCCCGTGGTGATTTCCGGACCGTCGAACACACAAACTCTCCGTAGAGGTATAGTCCAATGCAGAAAAACGATAAAACTTGGAGGTGTGTGGCCGTCGTTGCCGCTAACAAATGCGGAGGGACACGATTGAATTTTAGCTCCGAGCAACTTCTGCGGGTCGAGTGGTGTGAGAATATAGACACGCAACAACTTTGGGAATGGTTACGTTTTCGAATGTCAATACGCTGACGCGTCTGAAGCGCTGCGGGTACATTCTGAGCGGGCAGCGCTCATGCGACGTATCGCGGACGCCATCCATAGCTTGGTAAAGGCAGTGTTACACTTCGACGTTGATTGTTGCCAACGTGGCGTATGCGGCAGCGCACACAGGCACTGATTGGTCGCAGATATCAAGTTCCTGCTCACCGGCCAATGAAAGGCGCACGTTCTGCCCTGCGCCGCGTTCGCTATTGTGTGCCTGAAGTGTGTCTTCGACGTTTTTTTGTTTATGGTTTCATTTCCCCCGTACATCAAAAGTGGTCCCGAAGTGGCAACAAATGACGTCACAGAAGCCGGCGTCTCTTGCTGTTGGATGTCGCGATCCTGGTGGTTGGTCGTAGAAATGCTAGCGAAGAGCATCAGCGAACACGAGTGTCGCTGTCGTCGCGGCGTCCCAACTTCTGGCCGCCAAAGCTTCCTTGGATTGCCACAATGAAGATCGACCTGCAGCAGAACAGGCGTCTGCCATATCCACCAATGCTGCTGGGGCACCGCCAGGATCGCGGCCGGCGACAACGTGACACTTCCATGACCTCACCAGGCGGAAATCGAGGGACCCTTTTTTTTTGACGCGGTAAACACACCAGTGGGAGACGCTTTCCAGGCACCATCAGCCAATGCGGATCGGCGCGCCCCCTTCAGATGTCGCACGGTCCCTTTGCACTCTATGAAACACAGTGGTTGGCTCTCTCAAGTGCTCTGCGAGAAACTAGACGCACTTGGTGGTTTTAGTGTACACCACCGCGCGAGGAAGCTTTAATTAAAAAATCTTTGGTTCCCCCCCCCCCCCCCCCCCCCCCCCCCCCCCCCGCGGAAGTTATTGTGAGAAGGTCGAGCTTATCGCTTTTACTGTCGGTAATTTGCGGGACACGCGACGAATTAAGGCTCGTTCACACCCTTGCAACCGAGTAGACCGGTTGAGACGAGACCGGCTTTTAAGCATTTTGGGACGGCTTAATAGGCCCTGATCCGCAGCAGCGCATCTGGTCCTATGCCGTCGCAAGAGACTTAAAAACCGCTTTTGTCTCCCTCGGTCGTACTCGGTTACAAGTGTGTGAACGGGACTTAAAGCGCCGTTCGCACACTTGCAACCAAGTAGGACCGGTTCTAAGCATCTTGCGACGGCGGAGGACCGGATGCGCTGCTGCGGAGCAGGTCCTACACCGTCGCAAGGGGCTCGAAAACCGGCCTTGTCTCTCTCGGTCCTACTCGGTTGCAAGTGTGTGAACGGCGCTTAAAGGCCCGCGCGAAATGCGAACACACGATGCAGACTGCAACGGCTAGCCTTCGAACAATGAGCCAGTCCGCTATTTATCGGCATGGCGCAGCGTCGTCGAAAGGTGTAAGCCACCAAAGCCGTTGCTCTAGGAGTCCCGACACCGAGGTACGAGTGAGATAGCATAGCGGTGCTGCTTACGCTCCCGCGGGAGAAGATTACAGGGAAAGGATATTGGACGGGCGCTCCCGGCGTTTTCGTGCCCGCACATATCCTCTTGTATGGCCCCCCAGAGCTCCAGAAATAATGCGATTACGCTTGTTTGGGCTCCACGGTTCAGAAGCCTCAAAGAGTAAAGGAGAAAGAGCGCTAACTTACAACGATACACAAAGCACGAGAAAATGGTAAAGAAAAAAGAAGAAAGGGAGGAGACTCCAGAAGCAAATGCCAAAAACGAATTTGAATATCGTTCTCCGCCTTCGCGCTCACAAAACTCTTTAAGCGCCAGCTTACTTTTTTTTTTTGTTGCGTGTTTTGCTTTGTGTTTTAGGAAGAATCACGGAGACTGGAGCACAAACACTCTATAAAATAGAGTTTATGCTAACAGCCCAAGGGCACTGATAAGCTGAGTAAAGATCGCGGAGCTTTTACGCTTGGCTGGCGGAGCGGAAATTATGTTGCTTTGGTTCTATTTCCACACCTCTGTTAAACAACAGTTATTCGATGGTTGTTCTTCCCCGTGCGCTTGGGAAGACGGTGAAGTATTTGTGTTGCAAATTGGGAGGTTCTCTATACCGCGGCTTTGCCGTGCCTTTGGTTTAGCTGTGTTTGGATAATCTGAGTTGGTTTCTACGACTGTTACCTCAAGCCTGTTAACCAAAGTTACACTCTACGTGGCTAACAAGCAAAAGAACAAGTCCTTGAAATTGTAGTAAGTACTCCGAAGTCAGTGCTTTTAGCGGAAAAACAGTCTGGGTACTGCGGTGCAACCGCCACCATATTATTCGCATAAAGAAAGGCCCCTTCACATAAGTTCAACAGAAAAGATAAACATAAAACTTTTCTTATAACCAAACGGGGTGGCGTACCCTCGTTATAAGTGCTATTTTAATTTTATATGGCAGAGAATTTAGAATCTATATAGAGTAAGTATGCATAGTGCAAAACACAGTTGCCCATAACGCTGGTGCGCACGGCTTTCTCCGGCCAGTTCCCCCCTAGTGGCATTCGCCGCAACTAATCTAGTCACGTGGGACAACATGAAGCAACCCGCTCGATGGGTGTCCCCCATCGGGGGCCACCAAACGCGGGAGGCTGAAATCACGTTTCGCGCCTGCTTTAATCCGCATATCAACTGCTCGCTCTAGTTAATTTTTTTAGAGCGCAGCTCGTAGGCGCCCGTTTCCGGCTTGAGCGGCGTCGCCGTCCCCGTCGACGTCGGCGTAACCGTAAGGTCGCGTGACCCCTGTGAGGTCACGTGACGTCACGAGGTTCACGTGGTTTCAGGGTTACGCCGACGGCGAGGGCGACGCCGACGCCGCTCGGAGGGAGGAGTAGCAGGCAGAATGAGGAGGAGGGAGGAGGGTATAAGCTCCCCTCAGTACCTTTCCCTCCTCCTCC